TAAATAGATGGAGAAATATTAGCCAGTGAGAACCAGAGAGGGCACATTCCAGAAAATAGGAGAGGACAGAACAATAGCAGAGGGGCACCTGGAGACTGACAGACACAGGGAAGCAATCAACACAGTGGTGTGTTGTTGCAGTGACTGATACCCCAGCGGAATTCAGTGAGTGGCAATCTGAATTGCACCAGCAGCCGGAACTCCAGCAGCAACCTAGGGGGAAAGGGGCTTTCACCGAGAGCTCAGGAGATGAACCCAGACAAAGAACTGTCTGTCCTGATGGTGTGTCTGATTTGACCAGGAGCAGAGACAGAGCAACAGGTCCCAGCTGGGCAGTGTGGGAACAGGGTAGATTTCATAGCCCAGTCCTCCTCCCAGAGCTGTATTGGGCGCCATTTTGTGTAAGGAGGCAAAGGCTATGGACAGTACTATGCATGCACTGAGCTGGGAGTGAACTCATTTCTGACTCAGTGAACTGCAACAACACGGCATCCTACAGGTTCCACCCAAGACAGGCCCTGATAGGTAACCCTCAGACCTGATGGCCAACAGCAGATCAAGAACTCTGGTAGTGGCACATCAGGCCCAACTGTGTACCGTGTGGTAAAGAATTTAAGACTGCAGGGACAACAGTGAATTGTGCATGCTCTGAGCTCAGCAAAAACTCACAGGAAAATACATTGCACTGGTCCCACTGGTCAAAATAGGTCCGTGTGTCCCTCAGACCTAACGGCCAACAGGTTCTGGCAAGACCACCACCAACCAAAACCTAGCCATGCAGGACACCTGGTGTCGCCCTAATCCTGGGATCTACTCCAACCCGAAGTGGGAGGAAAGTACAGACAGTGGTGCAGCCTCAGCACAGGATCACAGGAGGTGGAAAGTAGTGAGCCAGGAGCTGGGGCTACAGAGTCCATAGTGGAAATCTAACACAAGGACCCAGACCTGGAACTCACTGGAGGGAACAGCACAAGTGACTGCAGACAAAGAGCTGGATACCAACCAAAAGATGTAAAATGGAACTGTAGACCTATGATTTGCTTTGTGGCTTTTCATTTAGGGGGATGTATAGTAACTGTGTAATGGAAACTATCATACCTAAAGGCTGGACTCTCTGCCATTGTCCATGCCACAATGATGGACATAGGACTGTGTATGGGGAAGTGTACTATGGTAATGATATAGGGGAATTCAGTGATGTGGAAGGGAATAGGAGAGGGGATAAGGGAAATCCCAGGAGCCTATATAGAACTGTATCATAAAATGGTAATAATAAAAAGAAATTTAAAAAATACGAAAATAAAAAAAAAAAGAAAATAGAAACAGCCTCCAGTGTCAACCAAGTCAGCAATGGATAAACCACATGGAGCACAGAGTCACACGCGATGACACTCTGCAGCCACAGGAGGATGCAGGATGGGACATCTGCAGGGTGCAGGGGCCTCAAGGAACCCCAAATGTGTGAGGCAAGTCTTTCAGACTGTAGGATTCCATTTCTATGAATTGTCTGCAAAGTAAGCCCATGGCACACAGATGGTCAGTTAATGATTGACTGGACAGGACGGGAGATTGACTGCTACAGAGTACAGGGTTCCTTTAGGGATGATAAGGATGCTCTCCAGTTGACTGCAGTGGTTGCACAACTCTGCACACCCTAAAGCCCTTTGACTTACATCAAACCAGCAAATGGGGGCTGGTGTTGTACAAGAGCAGGTTGAAAGCTGCTGCCTACAATGCCGACATCCCATTGGGCCGCCAGTCTGTCTCCTGGCTGTTCCACCTTTGATGTAGCTCCTTGCTAATGGCATGGGAAGGTAGAGGCTCCCCCAGGTGCTGGAATCCCAGCTGAGGAGGACCTGGGAGAAGCTCTTGTCTTCTGGCTTTGAGTTGGTGTAGTGCTGGTTATTGCCACCATCTGGGGAGTGACCCAGTATATGCAAGGTCTCTCTCTGTCTCTCTTTTCTATAGCTGAATGTCTTTCTTTTCTTATATATATTTTTATTGCAGTGTCAGATATACAGGAGAGACAGAGAGAAAGATCCTCTGTCCGAAGATTCACTCACCAATTGACTGCAACAGCCAGTGCTGCACCAAATTAAAGCCAGGAGCCAGGAGCCTCCTCCAGGTCTCCCACACAGGTGCAGGGTCCCAAAGGTTTGGGCTGTCCTTGACTGCTTTCCATGGCCACAAGCAGGGCCCTGGATGGGAAGTAGAGCTGCTGGGATGAGAACCGGCGCCCTTATGGGATCCTGGCACGTTCAAGGTGAGGACTTCAGCCGCGCGGCCACTTCGCTGGGTCCTGAATGTTTCTTTTAAAAGTATTTACTAATTTTTATTGCAAAGACAGAGGGAAAGTCTTCAGTCCACTGATTCACACCCCTAGTAATCACAGACTTCGTGGCTGAACTGATCCAAAGCCAGGAGCCAGGAGCCTCTTCCAGGTCTCCCGTGAGGGTGCAGCGTCCCAAGGTTTGGGGCCATCCTCTCTACCAGGCCACAAGCAGGAATCTCTATATCTGAGGAACAGTCATGACATGAACTGGTGTCCATATGGACCCCAGTGCTTGTAAGGTTGGGATTTCGACATTGAGGCATCCCACCAGCCTCCTGTGCACCCTCTCAAAGTGGCTTCATCACCTCCTGGCTAGTCTCGCAGGGAGACTGGAAACCCAGAGGAGGTGGGTTGGCATTCACAGCCAGAGGCGGCTGCTGGGAGAAGCACCTTGGACACCTGCAAAGGAACTCCCCTTATCCCAGCAGAGACCTGTCCCTGTCCATGGCTCATTTGGTAATGATGACTGACAACATGGAAGCAGACCCAGGGTTCTACTTGCTGCAGCTGAGCAGTGCTAACAACACAGGAGTCACTTCTGTGTAGGTGGGGTCTTCTCCAACAGCAGCCTGAGTCCCAGAGTAGCCTCACACGAGTAGTTGGGGTCCCCATCTGCGTTAGGCACTGGCCATCTTCTGGAATTGAGTTTCCAGGGGTCCAGAGTATGATGCAGATATGACCAATCCAGGCGAGGTGGTTGGCACTTAGATATCGTGTGTATTTATATTCCCCTACCCTTTGAACTTGGCCATCCTGTTACAGATAGTGCGTGCCCTTTGAGCTCCTTTGCCAGAGATGTTGCTCCATTGAAGGTTGCGTTGTAAGTCTCCGATCCCATATTCCCATTGTATAACATTCCTTCTGAATCAAAATCACATTTCTACTATGCCCAGAAATGAACAATTGAGAGGTGGGCTTTTACTTACTCATTCATTAAATATTCTCTTAATGATTGTAGAGAGACAGGGAGGGAGAGAGCAAGAACAAGAGAGAGTGACATGAAGAGAGAGGGAGCTCCCACCTGCTAGTTCACTCTTCAAATCACTCCAATGACCAGGGCTGGCTCAGGACCGTCGCCACACCTGGGTCATCACGGAGGTGTCCAGCATGTGCGGCAGGAGCTGCTGGGCCGTTACTGCTGCCTCTCCAGGTGTGCGCTGGGCAGGAGCAGACAGTGACCCGCGCCTAGAACCCAGACTTCTCCCTAGGAAGGCAGACATCAGCCACCAGACTAAGCACTTTCTCCTGTCACCTCTGGAGTGTGTGGTTTTCAAGGAATTCTTCCACTTTGCCTTGCTTACAAAATTTGTTCATGAGCCTGAATTATGGCACAGTGGGTGACCTGTTGCACAGGTTCAAGTCCTGGAGGCTCCACTTTCCCACCCAGCTCTGTGTTTCTGTGTCTGGGGAAAGCAGCAGAACATGGAAAGTCCTTGGGTCCCTGCCACTGCGTGGGAGGCCGAGATGGAGTTCCTGGCTCCTGGTTGTGTTTGATGTCACTAGGGACTTGACCCAGCAGCTGAAAGATGCCTCTCTTTCCATCTCTAACTCTGTCTTTCAAATACATGTTATTGAAAGAAATACAATTTTCTTGCCGTGGAGGACAGTGTGGCACATGTGGAGAAGTTACAGCTTGCAATGCCTGAATCTCCTGTGTGAGTAACAGGCTTTGGATCACAGTGCGCTTTCATGATGCGGCTCCCTGGTAACGCATCAGGGAAAGTAGCAGAAGATGGCCCAAGGGTTTCAGTGCTTGCCACCCACGTGGCAGAACAACCTGGAGCTCCTGGCCTCTGGCTTGGCCTGCCTAAGCCCTGTGGGTTGAGGCCATTTGCAGAGAGCACCAGCAGATGGGAGCTCTGTGTCCCTGTGGCTCAAGCAAACCAAGGAGTGGGTGCTCAAGAACAGAAGAAAGGTGTTGTCCCTTGGGTGGGCAACACGAGTCTATCACTTCTTCCTTGGAGCAGTGAGGCTGTCCCTGCAACGGGACAGAGAACTCAGCCTGCATTTCAGGGTCTCGTGGTGATGTGAGCACAACACACTCAGGGTCACCCTGTCCTGCATGGGCTCAGGTAGGATGTAGGGGGTTGGGTGAGGGCAACAGGGACCTGGCAGAGTTCAAGCAGAAGTGGAGGAGGTGTGGCGCTGTGGCAGGAAGGACTGACCTTGGGCTGACTGCCAACCCCAACACCCAGCTCAGTCCTGCAACGTATGGGCCACAACATTCCAGTCATCTGTGGAAGCCACAGCCACGGAGCCAATTCGGACGGTATCGGTGCCCTGGCGGGTCCACGCATGGCTGCTCCTCCGCCTTTTGCAACACCTCCCCCTCAGCAGAGCCTAGCCTGGCTTAGGACCGCCCCCCGACATGGCTGCTCGCCACCATGCCAGGCCTGTGTCTCTTGGCCCCTCTGCTCTCCAGCACCCTCCCGCCCCTCCCTATGTCCCTTCGCCTACAAGGTCCCGTCTGCCATCTCCTTTGCTCATCAAGTCTTCAGCCCTCAGTGTCCCTGGGCACACTCTATTTCCCGACCACGCCCACGTCCCCAAACACAGCTAATCGCCTGGGTCCACACCCCTTCCCAAGGTCCACTATCAAGTTACTCTGCTCCGCCCCTGGCAACCGCCTACTAAAGTCTGTCGGGGATCTTTAAAAGCAGCGGTGATCCCACTTTGGGTGCTGGGCACAAAGACTAACAGGCACACTGGTTTTCTAAAACCTCCATCGCTGCCACCGCCACCATGTCCTGTCCGATGCCACAACGCCGGGCCATTACCACGGTGCTGGGTGCCATGGAGTTTGGACACCGCATGGACCAAGCCTCTAGTGCTGCTTCGATGCGCGCCTTCCTGGATCACGGTTACAACGAGATAGACACCGCCTTCATCTATTCCGACGGCCAGTCGGAGACCATCCTGGGCGGCCTTGGACTCGGGCTAGGACGCAGCGACTGCAAAGGTAACTGTGGTCCCTGAAGTCCCCTGTGCCATGCACTGCTGATTCCGCCCCACAGGACAGGCCCAGCCCTGCACCTACCACTACCTGCACTGGCCACTCCAGGCCCATGCTGCAGCTCTGGGAGTCCCGAGCCCCCAGGGAAGCAGTGTCCTGGACACCTGGATGTGCCTTGTCCTGCCTGCCTGCCTGCTTGTATTTACCCCTCTGGAATGGATTCCTAGAACCCACCCCTCTGGTTTAGCCTGACAAAGCATAGCTGAACTCTGAGTATGAAAATGTAGGACCCGGGAAATGGGCTGCCCCTTGCTCCAGGCACAGCAGGTTGTGCTAAAGGCCAGACCTGCTGGACCCTTCACACCTGGTAGTGTTGGCACAGCTCCAGATCAGGTACATAGTACAGATCTGAATCCTCTCTGGCTTAGACTGCCACCTAAACAGGCTTTGTCTTTGCTCATGGTACCTTATTGGTTTGGCAGTCCCATGGATGCTTGAGAGTCGTGGTGGCCCAGCACAGCATGGAAGATGGGGAGCAGCATCTGGTGCCTCTCATGCCAGCATCTGTTTGAGGCCATGTAGGGATGCAAGTTCATCCTCCAGCTCAGCACTGGGCATGCCCAGCAGGGAGCCTTTCCAGGGAGGCAGGAAAAAGGCTGCTCAGAGAGGAAGCACTGTCCTCCAAGGGGGCAGAAGGTGGCTGCCGGAGTGCGAGGAAAGAGGGGTTGCATGCAGGACTGGGGTGTGCCACAGCTCAAGAATGATATTTGTGGGTGACTTACAGGATTGAGGGTGAAGACTTGGGACCCCACCAGGAGGATGCGAGGACGTGGGAGTGGCTAGAGTACAGGAGGTAGATGACATAGAGGGCTCAAAAGTGAAAAAGCCACTTGGTGACCATAAGCCCTGGGAGTGGCTTTAGCCCGGAATGGCAGGTACAGTGAGAACTCAGCAGTGTCAGCAATGGCAGTGTTGTGTGTTGGCACCTTAACCTCCTTCCCTGGAGAGGCATGGCTGGGTAGAGTCTTACCCCTGATCCCACTGCTCTGAGGCACCTGCATCTCAGGGGACCCTCCCTCTACACACCCTGCCTGCCTCCCAGGACAACTCACATCTGGTCCCTATTGTTGATGCTGGTTCTATTCCTGAATGCTGGTGTTCTGATCAAATCCTTCTGCTCCCTCCTTGAGGCTGGGTCACTGGGTCACAGTCGTCTTGGTTAGATCCAGAGAGGGTGGAGGATGATGGAGGAATGGAAATGTCCCCAGTGAGTGTCACCAAACCTCATCTCTTCTAAGATGGATGGTCTCCAATGCCCAGTGTTCCTGCCTCTGGCATCTGCCTGGAGAAGCAGGCTTCCTCTACCTCCCAGGCAGCAGCCTTTGCCTTCCCTGTGGACTCTGGGAGTCAGACCCCAAGGAAGCTCCTGAGGCCCCGTGTGGCCTTGTCCCCTGTGCCCTGGGTTCCCCAAGCATCTTGTGCCCTGTCCTGCTTCCTAAACTCTCAGCAGGTGCTCATACCTCAGCACCTCGTGACAGGTGCAGCCAGTTCCCCAGCCATGGTGCTGGTGGGAGGAATGAGGCTCAGAGAGGCCTGGGAACATTATATAGGTCCCAGAGCTGTGAGGGCAGAGCTGGGATGGGAAGTCAGTTGTGTCTCCGCACTGTTGCACTGGACCCAGAGCAGTGTGTGATGGTTTACCTGACCTCCATGTCTGTTGCCTCCTAGTGAAAATTGCCACCAAGGCCAACCCAATTGGTGAGCAGACACTGAAGCCTGAGAGTGTGCGGCATCAGCTGGAGACTTCACTGAAGCGGCTGCAGTGTCCGCGGGTGGACATCTTCTACCTGCACTTGCCAGACCGCAGCAACCCCATAGAAGAGACGCTGCGTGCCTGCCATGAGCTACACAAGGAGGTGAGGGCAGCCCCCAGGGACAGACTGTTCCCCCCTTCAATCTGACAGTAGTGGGCAAGACTATCAGGGCAGCCCCTGAGTGGGACTCTGTGCACATCTACCCACCCCATAACCGCCCCCCCCCCATGCTTCTCTTGCTGACATCCTGTTCTACACTAGTGCTGAGCACAGCCTCTCCCCACAGGGCAAGTTTGTGGAGCTGGGCCTTTCCAACTATGCTGCCTGGGAGGTGGCTGAGATCTGCATGCTCTGCAAGAAGAACGGCTGGATCCAGCCCACTGTGTACCAGGTGAGGGTCAGCGCTCCACAGCTCTGCTTAACTAGGGTCTCCATCCCCACAGAGGGCTCCTAGCACTCTGAACCATCTTAGACCCTCTGAGTGGCTACTGGCTGAGATCTGGCAGACATCCCAGCTCCTCAGCCTGACCCAGGCAGCTCCTCCCTCTGTGCTGGCTGTGCACTGGCTCCTCCCTCCTGGCTGGCTTTGCTGTCAGCCTGGGACAGTGCTGAGTCCCTGGCTCGTGGCTGTTACCCAGGAAGCCTTTCCCTGTGGTTCCCAGGAGCCCCAGTACACAGGCCCTCCCACATCTCCTCCTCCTCTAGTCAGCCACAATGTGTTCTCCTTGGGGTGCATGCTGGGCACTGGGCACAGCTCTCTGTGGCACACAGATGCCCTTTGTCCTCAATGATAATGAATTTTTACACCTTGCTGTAAACCTCAAGAAGCGTGCTGTGGGAAGAGTGACTTGTCCTCCTGGCCCATTTGAGGTCAAGGTCAAAACCAGCCCAAGGACTGACCATCACTGTGGCATGGTTTGGTATTCCTTAGTTAGTAGTACTTGGAGATGTCCTTGCAGCTGGCATTTATCCCCACAGGGAATGTACAGCGCCATCACCCGGCAGGCAGAGAAGGAGCTGTTCCCCTGTCTCAGGCACTTTGGATTGAGGTTCTATGCTTACAGCCCTTTGGCTGGTACGTGGTGGCCTGGGCACAGGTCCCCTGGGTGAGAGGGCAGGCCTGACCCCATATCTGCCTATACTACCCAAGGGATGCCCATCAGGGTCTGGGAAGGAGTGGGGCTGCTCTCTCCCTTGCTTCTGGGATCCTCCCACCTGACAGCCTCTGGGGGAGTCCTGGACCTGAGCTGTCATGGCGGCCTTCCTGTAGGTGGACTGCTGACTGGCAAGTACCAGTATGAGGACAAAGATGAAAAGAAGCCCAAGAGCCGCTACTTTGGGGATCGATGGTCCGAATTCCTCAGGAACATGTGAGTTTTCCTTGTCTGGTGGTGGGATATGTCTACTTGCTTGTTGAGTGTGGGTTCCTTCCTGCCTGTATCAACCGTAATACCCACAGTTTTGGTTCTTCTGCTTTCTTGGGGCTCCCGTAAGAAATGGGCATCCCAGGATCACGTGGTCTTCCAGGTCCTAGCTCTGTCCTGAGCAGTCACCTAGCGGGCAGGAAGGAGAATTGTGGCTAGGGATGCAAGAACCCTGGCTCTGTCCTGTCTCAGCTCATTTGGCTGCACTCAGTCACAGGAGGGCGGATGTGTGACTCTCAGGACCAAAGATGTCATCGGGGCCTCTGGAGAGGGAGCCAGCAGCCTGGGGTGGGCCTTTCATTCAGCAGGTGTGGAGTGGGTCAGCTGCCTTGATGGCTATTTGCTTTACCATCTGGTATCTTCCCATGGGTGTGACCCTGTGCCTCTTTTCCTCTCTGCCCAGCTACTGGAAGGAGGAACACTTCAAGGGCATCACCCTGGTGCAGAAGGCCCTGCAGGCTGCGTATGGCTCCAGCGCCCCCAGCTTGACCGCGGCTGCCATTCGCTGGGTATACCACCACTCCCAGCTGAAGGTAACCCCATGGTCCCGGTCATGTGGCTTCTGCTGTTTTAGGGGAATTTATCTACAATTCTCATGAAACTTTTTCTTTTAGATCTATTTTCATGGGTCTGTTCTAACTTAAGTGCTAAATAGGGACTCAAAAACATGAACTTGATCTTTACTTAGTCATTATAACTTGCTATACCAGCAATACTAACGAGGAATGGCAAGTGCATTATGGAGGTTGCAATGCAAACGCATCAGTCTCTCTGCTGTGCTGGGCGCTGGGCCTCTGTCTCTGAGTCACTCCCCAGAGTGACTCCTTCCCAGTGTGGCTGGTAAAGGAGCACTCAGTCTGCAGTTAAGGCATCCATGTGTCCCGTGTAAGGACTGGGTTCCATTCCTGGATCAGGGCCCCGATTCCAGCCTCCTGCTGGTGGAGACCCCGGGAGGCTCTGACATGTTTGAAGCAGTTGACCCCTGCCACCCACACGGGAATCTTTTTTATGCCTCTCCCAAATCTTGGCTTCCACACTTGCCCAGCTCTGGCTGTTACGGGCAGTGAAACAGCAAATGCGAGCCCTCTCTCTTCCTGACTTGTCTTGTCTGTCTCCTGGTCTTTCAAGTTAACAATCCTAAAAGCAAATGTCGGGGTCCTAAGGATGAGGTAGCATAGTTAGGTAAGACTCTGCCTGCATTGTTGGTATCACATAAGGGCCCTTGTTTGTTTGGCTCAGGTTCTGGCCACTCCACTTCCAACCCGCTCCCTCCTTATAACCTGGGGAAATTGGAGAGGATGGGGCAAGACTTGGGCCCCTGCCCCTGTGTACGAGACTGGGAGAAACTCAAGGCTCCCACCTTGGGATGAGCTATGACCATTGAACCCATTTGGAGGTGAACCAGCAGATGGAAAATCTTACAGTCTCTGCTCCATTCTCTGTAAATCTGCCCTTCAAAAAAAAAAATCTTTTTTTTTTTTAAAGGAGCACACTGTTGAAGAACAGAGTTAAAAAATACCTTTATTTGGTTTCCAGAGATCCATTTGAATGGAAGATCTTAATGAGTTTCAGTTGCTAGGCCTTTCAAGTTGATTGAAAATAGTATGGAAAGATGAAAAAAGATTTTGAGGAGTCATCATAGGGGTTCAGGGGGCTGAGCCAAGGACTGTAATTAGAGCCTCCCCATGATCAGCAGTCTTGAGTCTTGGCTGCTCCACTTCTGAGCGTGCTCCCTGCTGATCCTCCTGGGAAATGGACAACAGATGATCCAGTACATGTGCCCATGTACCCACATGGAGACCCAGCTGTAGTGGCAGGCTCTGCCTCTGTCCTGGGTGAGCCAGTCAGTGTCTGCCTGTGGGTCAGTGTCTGCCTGTGGGCTAATGAACCAGCAGGTGGAAATGTTCTCTCTCTCTGACTCTCTGCGACTCTCTCTTTCAAATAAATAATAAATCTTTAGAAAAGATTTGAATTCCATACATACCAGAGGTCTATATGCAGTTCATGGACAATGTATATTATGAAATATGTTGAAAGCATTTCCAAATCTCATCACCCTAACAACCTCAGCTTCTGCTTCCTGTGTCCATGACCTCTGTGATTCCCCCTCATGTGTCATCAAGGCTCACTAGAGCACGCTGAGGGCTGTGTGTGATCTCTCACTCCCTTGACCACACTGAGAGTGGAGGACACGCAGGCTCAGAGAGGGTAACTAGCTAAGCCATGTTTGCTCAGCAGCTGGGTGGCAGGACCGGGCTCTGGATGAAGGTCTGTGTGGGTGAGCAGGTGGCCCCAGAGACAAGGACACAGGCAGGGAGTGACAAAGCCAGAACTGTCCAGGCCCCTTGAGTCCTCTCTGGCCCAGGGACCCAGAGCTGGGCAGGCAGCAGGGCTGGGAAATGAGTGTGGCTGCATGAGCTGACGTGTGCTGTTCCCTGCAGGGAGCCCACGGGGACGCAGTCATCCTGGGCATAACCAGCCTGCAGCAGCTGGAGACGAACCTGGCAGCCGTGAAGGAGGGACCCCTGAAGTCGGAAGTTGTGGAGGCCTTTGAGCAAGCCTGGAACCTGGCAGTGCCCAAAGCTGCCAACTACTACTTCTAGGCCCTGGGTGACTCAGGCTGCCCTGGCCCTTGTACCACCCCCTTTGTCTCTCCCCTGATTCACTCTGCCTTGCTAACCAAGTATAGTGTCTACAGACTGTCTGGTCCCTCCCTCCCCTTCTAGATTCCTGCCTTGTGCTTTACAGTGTGGGATGCTGAGGTTGGCTCTGCAATGGCAGGTTCTGTGTTCAATAAAACTGCCCTGCCCTGGCTGCAGCCGGGCTCAGGTGAACCCACCAATATGGCTCCTCTATTCCCTGCCTGCCCTGCAGTGCCCCAAGGGGGCACTGTGCAGAGTGTTGGGTCTTCAAGGGCAGACTTCAGGGGAGAGGGTCCCACCAGTGTGTCTCTCAGAGCGGGTCACGGATCCTGCCTGTACTCACGGGTGACCAAGGGCCCTCTGTCTCCCTCAGACTGAGGAAATGGGTGCCTGCTGCTGCAGGACGGTCTCTCTCAGGACACCCTTCAGGGCTTGGCAAGGGGACACTTGCCACATGTGCTGCCATGAGCGTCAACAGCAAGAACGGGTCCCAGAGCCAAAATGACACTGAAAAAAACAAGTGGGGGCCCAGCGCGATGGCGCAGTGGTAAAGGTCCTCGCCTTGCACACCCGGGATCCCATATGGGCACTGGTTCTAATCCTGGCAGCCCCGCTTCCCATCCAGCTCCCTGCCTGTGGCCTGGGAAAACAGTGGAGGATGGCCCAAGGCTTTGGGACCCTGCGCCCGCGTGGCAGACCAGGAAGAGGCTCCTGGTTTCGGATTGGCTCAGCTCCAGCCATTGTGGCTGCCTGGGGAGTGAATCATTGGACGGAAGATCTTCCTCTCTGTCTCTCCTCTCTGTATATCTGCCTTTCCAATAAAAATAAAATAAATCTTTCAAAAAAAAAAAAAAACCAAGCTGGAGGACTCATCTTTCCTGACTTGAGACTGACTGCAGAGCTACAGCAGGAGACAGTGTGGAATGCCTGCAGGATAGACACGAGTCAGAGAACTAGAGCTGTGAGTTCTGAAATGCCCGTGCCCGGGGACTGTGAGTGGGTTTGAGAGAAGTGGGGAGGGAATCGTCCTCAGCCTGGGGTTCTGGGAGACCAGTGTCCTCAGGCAGATGTCTGAGCTTGCACACCTGGCTCACGCGATCCCCCCTGATCAACTGCACATGGAAGAACCCCAAGTGTCAAGGCTATTTCCTAAAACTCTTAGGGGGAAACCCAGAAGTAAATCTTCACAACTTTGAGCTAGGCAGGGATTTCTTTTTTTTTTTAAAGATTTATTTTTTATTATTTTCTCATTGGAAAGGCGGATATACAGAGAGGAGAGACAGAGAGGAAGACCTTCCATCCAATGATTCACTCCCCAAGTGAGCGCAACGGTCGATGCTATGCCGATCCGAAGCCAGGAGCCTCTTCCAGGTCTGCCACGCGGGTGCAGGGTCCCAAAGCCTTGGGCTGTCCTCTGCTGCTTTCCTGGGCCACAGGCAGGGAGCTGGAAGGGAAGCAGGGCTGCTGGGATTAGAACCGGCGCCCATGTGGGATCCCGGGCGTGAAGGTGAGGACCTTAACCACTTGCGCCACCGCGCCGGGCCCTAGGCAGGGATTTCTTAGGTAAGTCACAAGATGTCAAGGAAAATAAACTAATGAATTGGACAATAAGCAGACAGTTAATCCCCAAATTTTATACTAACAATTAAGGGATTGAGGGTAGTGATATATGGATGAAAATTTGAAGCTTGAATTGGACTGGACTTCCTCCGTTGGCATCAGCGTCCTGTACAGGTGCCAGTTTGTGTCATGAGTGCTCCACTTCTGATTCAGCTCCCTGCTATGGCCTAGAAAAGCAGCAAAGCATGGGTCAAGTTCTTGGGACCCTGCACCCATGTGGAAGGTGCAGAAGAAGCTCCTGGCCCCTGGCTTCGTGTTGATTCAGCTTGGATTGTTGCGGCCATTTGGAGCATGAACCACTGGATGGAAGAGATCTTTGAGTGTGTGTGTGTTTCTCTTTTTTCTACCATGTCTTTTAAATAAAAACAAATGTATCAGTTTTTAATTGCAGTTTGACTCAATTGTGATATTGGGATGGCAGAGCTACTGTGAGTGTGTCCTCACACTGGAACAGTTCCCCATGAGGCAGTTTTCTTGGAGGCTTAGATACGTATGCAGAGTTCAGCCCAACTCTTCTCTCTGCTCCCTGGGTTGCCAAAGGACCCTCAGTTGGCAGGTGTTCGCCCATACTCCACTCTCCATGCACATGACATCATCAAGGTTACTTGACTTTGGACAACCATGTGTAAACCGTAAGTGGAAATGAGCCTTGTCCTTTCATCAGAAGCTTCTCTCGACTTGTGTAGGTCAAGTAAAGAGAGATTGACACATACAACCATAAGGTAACAATGGGAAAAAATATTTGCCAACCTCATATCAGCCAAGGAGCATATGTCCAGTATATGGCAAGAGCTCTTATCATTTAATGATCATAGACACAACTGAACAATGGACTGGGCAGAGGACAGGAATAGACCTTTCCCCAAGAAAATATGCATACAGCAAGGAACACATGGAAAGCTTTCCATAGCGTAGATCAGAGAAGAATTGCAAAATCACAGTGATTCAGCAGATGAAAGCTGATCAAACCACACATCCTAGGATGGCTGGGGAGGGGAAAGTATTGGAAAACTTGTAACCTTCACTGCCTGCTGCTTGAAAGGAAACTGGAAGAGCCACATGGAGAGCAGGCTGGCAGCCCCCAGAGAGCCAACACTGAGACATAGGCCCAGCCAGGCATGCATGTGTGTACTACGGTCAGAGAAATGAAGCCTGTGTCCTCATCAAAGTTTGTCCATGGATCTTCAGAGCAGCATCACACAAGATAACTAGAAAGTGGAAACAGCCTCCAGTGTCAACCAAGTGAGCATAGAGTCACACGTGATGACACTCTGCAGCCACAGGAGGATGCAGGATGGGACATCTGCAGGGTGCAGGGGCCTCAAGGAACCCCAAATGGAGAGGCAAGTCTTTCAGATTGTAGGAGTCCATTTCTTAGAATTGCCTGCATGGCAAGCCCATGGCACACAGATGGTCAATTAATGATTAACTGGAGAGGACGGGAGATTGACTGCTACAGAGTACAGGGTTCCTTTAGGGATGATAAGGATGCTCTCCAGTTGACTGCAGTGGTTGCACAACTCTGCACCCCCTAAAGCCCTTTGACTTACATCAAACCAGCAAATGGGGGCTGGTGTTGTAGAAGAGCAGGTCGAAAGCTGCTGCCTACAATGCCGACATCCCATTGGGCTGCCAGTCTTTCTCCTGGCTGTTCCACCTTTGATGTAGCTCCTTGCTAATGGCATGGGAAGGTAGAGGCTCCCCCAGGTGCTGGAATCCCAGCTGAGCAGGACCTGGGAGAGGCTCTTGTCTTCTGGCTTTGAGTTGGTGTAGTGCTGGTTGTTGCCACCATCTGGGGAGTGAACCAGTATATGCAAGGTCCCTCTCTCTGTGTATCTCCTTTTCTTTATACAAAGCTGAATTTCTTTCTTTTTTTTTTTTTTTAAAGATTTATTTATTTTAATTGGAATGTCAGATTTGTAAAGAGAAGAGAAACACAGTAAGATCTTCCATCTGCTGGTTCACTCTTCAAATAGCTGCAACAGCTGGAGCTAAGCTGATCCAAAGCCAGGAGCCAGGAGCCTCTTTCAGGTTTCCCATGAGGGTGCAGCGTCCCAAGGTTTGGGGCCATCCTCTCTACCAGGCCACAAGCAGGAATCTCTATATCTGAGGAACAGTCATGACATGAACTAGTGCCTGTATGGACCCCAGTGCTTGTAATGTGAGGATTTCGACATTGAGGCATCCCACCAGCCTCCTGTGCACCCTCTCAAAGTGGCTTCACCACCTCCTGGCTAGTCTCGCAGGGAGACTGGGATCCCAGAGGAGGGTTGATGTTCACAGCCAGAGGAGGCTGCTGGGAGAAGCACCTTGGACACCTGCAAAGGAACTCCCCTTATCCCAGCAGAGACCTGTCCCTGTCCATGGCTCATTTGGTAATGATGACTGACAACATGGAAGCAGACCCAGGGTTCTACCTGCTGCAGCTGAGCAGTGCTAACAACACAGGAGTCACTTCTGTGTAGGTGGGGTCTTCTCCAACAGCAGCCTGAGTCCCTGAGTGGCCTCACATGAGTAGTTGGGGTCCTCAATCTACATTAGGCCCCAGGTTCTTCTGGAGTCGTTTCTCCTGGTATCCTGAGTATGACGTGGGTATGACTGATCCAGGCATCATAGCCTGAGACCTTCACTGCAGAATGAGTGGGCAGAGAAACAGTGAAAGGCCCCCCAGGGCTTAAAGAGGGAGGGGACAGACTGTGGAGGGCTTTAAGGTCTGGCCAGGCATGTGTTAGGCCCAGATCATAGTAAAGATGCTACAAAAAGAAAAGGAAACGTGGCTGAGGTTTAATCTAACTCAGTCAAAGGGGTTTGAGGTTTAAACCTTTATATCAACTTTCCGTCCAGGGAAACACATGCCTGTCCTTGGCTGAATTGGCTTGCTGCCCAGCACAAGGTAAGAGTCTTCATTTCCCACCTTCTATTTTTGGGGTGCAGGCATTGTGTTGCTCTAAGTACCAGAGCTGAGTATTTTCAGACGCTAGTCAGATCCAGGCTCATGCTAATCTGGGACATACAAATACAAGCTGTTTTCAGCCAAGAAAGATGTATAAGATGTAGCAATAATGTAAAAAACTTTCCTCTAGAATCAAGATGGCAGAATAGTGTAAGTCAACATTTGAATAGACGGAGAAATATTAGCCAGTGTGAACCAGAAAGGGAACTTTCCAGAAAATAGGAGAGGACAGAACAATAGCAGCGGGGTACCTGGAGACTGACAGACACAGGGAAGCAATCAACACAGTGGTGTGTTGTTGCAGTGACTGATACCCCAGCGGAATTCAGTGAGTGGCAATCTGAATTGCACCAGCAGCCGGAACTCCAGCAGCAACCTAGGGGGAAAAGGGCTTTCACTGAGAGCTCAGGGGATGAACCCAGACAAAGAACTGTCTGTTCTGATGGTGTGTCTGATTTGACCAGGAGCAGAGACAGAGCAGCAGGTCCCAGCTGGGCAGTGTGGGAACAGGGTGGATTTCATAGCCCAGTCCTCCTTCTAGAGCTGTATTGGGCGCCATTTTGTTTAAGGTGGCAAAGGCTATGGATAGTACTAAGCATGCACTGAGCTGGGAG